CTCACAGGCTTCCCGGCCTCACCCCAACCTCCTCCGAGGTGAAGCTCGCCAGGCTGCGTGGCTCCTCCCTGAGTCTTTCTTACTTCTCGGCAAACAGTTTCAATCGTTAGAAAGTCATTAGCATGAGGAAGGGGGGACATCCCATAACGGGAGTGTCCAGGAGCGATGCGAGTGCAGCCTGTTTACAGCAGAGACCTCTGCCCCTCCGTGCAGGCCGCAATTACATTCCCGGCTCGTTTTGGGTTTGCAGGAATTGGAGTCTCCAAAGCCGCGTCCTCGTTATCTGTCTTCATCCATCTTGCTCACCCAGACGCGGCCCGCTGAGTCCGTTCACCGGGGGCCTTCCGTTTTTATTAACGCCGAAGTCAGAATACGTCCCCGTGCACGTGGCGACAGCCAAGATAAGCTCAGGGAAAGCGAGACAACAGATAGCCCAGAATCTCGGTGGCCTAAGAAAGGCACGATCCTCAGGAAGGCTCCCTGCCCGCCGTGGCTTAGCGGGAGCCTCTGTTGCTCTCGGGCTCTAAGAACCCTGGCCGACGGGCAGCCACCACCTCGAACCACAGCGGGGTCCTTGCCAGAGAGAAAGCCAGCTCTTGGATGGCCCCTGGTCAGAAATTAAACATTGCCGCCGAAAGGAAATGGCACCTGCCACGCCCGTTCACACCGTACGGGGCACGGTGGTCAGGTCCCCATCCGCCAAGGAGTGAGCTACAAGGACGAGACTACCACGGGCCCGAGGAAGAGCCGGAAAGCATTAGCAAAGAGTTCTGCTGGCTGCCTCCGGGCACAAAAGGCAGACTGTGGCCACGCCGGGGCAGCTGGAGAATTGCAGGTGTGAAGGTCTACACTCCCTCTCAACACGGCGCTTGCTTTTATTCCTTGACCTAAACAACACCACACACGCATGCACACACGCATGCACACACGTGCACACATGTGCACACAGTGCACACGCAACACACACGCACACATCCCCATCTTCACGCCCTGCACCCGCAGACCCAGAGTTTCTATTCCAAGTCTCATGCACAGACTACCTCGGTTTACCCCTGGTGTGAATGGACGGCACAGGTGTCGGGACCTGCCGTTCTCTGCTTGACTGCCTCATCTCTTTACCAGCGTCCAGCTCCCACTTCGTATTACCTGGAAAAATAAACGCTGAGTGAAAAAGAAAATGAGGAGGGGCCAGGCGAGCTGGCTCGCACTTGTAATCTTAGCACTCTGGGAGGCCGAGGCGGGCTGATGCCTCAAGGTCAGGAGTTCAAAACCAGCCTGAGCAAGAGCGAGACCCCGTCTCTACTAAAAATAGAAAGAAATTAATTGGACAACTAATATATATAGGAAAAAAATTAGCCGGGCATGGTGGTGTGCGCCTGTAGTCCCAGCTACTTGGGAGGCTGAGGCAGGAGGATCGCTTGAGCCCAGGAGTTTCAGGTTGCTGTGAGCTAGGCTGACGCCACGGCACTCCAGCCCGGGCAGAGTGAGACTTTGTCTCAAAAAAAAAAAAAAAGAAAGAAAGAAAAAGAAAACAGAACAAAATGAGGAGTTGGTTTTACACTCCTAACTGTACGTGGTCCCCCCAGGCACCCACTCCCTACAGCAGAGGGGATTTCGTGTCCTGCTCATCTGGGACGCACATGAGGCTCATTTTCGTAGAACGCCTGGTTTGGCAAGAAGGCCTGGAAAGTTCAATTCATCAAGGAGCCTTGTTTCTCTGAAAATGAGTCTTATCGGACATTTGTGTCAGTATTTCTTTTCTTTCTTCCTTTTTCCTCCCCTCCTTCCCTCCCTCTTCCCCCTTTCTTCCTTCCAAGAAGCCCACCCCCCTGCGACAATTCAGCCTGAGACAGAAGACTTGAAAGAGGAAAAGCCTTAGATTAAAGACTGCTGGCCCCTGAGGCAGGGAGAGCCGTAGCCAGGCCACAGATTACAATAAAGCCACTGGAGCTTGCAGCGGCTCCGTTCAGCTTTTCCATCATATTTAAGCGCTTTCGGTACTGACAGAGATCGCAGACGACAAACACCTCCGACTCATAAATGCACCTGGGTCCACGTCTCTCTGCAGCGCTATCGATCATCCCCCCTGGATTCGGAGGCGCACGGCAGGCAGCCCGCCTTGTGCGATTCGCATCTGTTGCCTCCATGTGAACACAAAAGGGCCCTTCGTTGGAAACGCCTCTCACGGTGCCCGGACAACCTGATCATTTCTGCTTTGCCTTTTCTCTCTCCGCTTTGAGTGCCAACGTGAGGTCTGCATCCCCCGAAAGGGCGGACTGCAAGGGACCCGCAGGCAGGAGTGACACCGTCCGTCCGTGGAGAACGGCGGCAGGTGCCGGCTCAGCTCGGGACTGAATCTGGCCTCTGCCGCTTCCCGGCCCCGTGGCCTCGGGAAAAGCGGTTTGGTATCGCTGGGCCCCAAGTTTCCCGTCGGGGAACCCAGAGTCATAATGACACAGAAAATGTCGGGCGCTGGGACTCGGCCGCTTGCCACCTCCCTGTCGCTCTGCATCTCCACAGGCCAGCGCTGCGCGTGGCCAGTTGGAGGGTGCATTGCTGGGGCCGGGCCCCAGGGCAGAGAGCCACCCGGGGCCCCCACGTGGCCGGAATGCCCCCAGCCCAAGAGCCATTGCCTGTTTCCAGCCCCCCGATGCTTGCGTGATCCTGATTGGGTAATTTTTGAATCCCACTGTTGTTGATTGGATGTTAAAGCTTGTTGCTCATTGGATGTTAAAGCTTGTAGTTGATTGGACGCTTTTTGAGCTTTGCAAGTGAATCGGCACATATTTGTTCTCCCCTAGTTCTGAGGTCGAAAGGCTGCAACCAGTTTCATCCAGGTGTTGGCAGGGCAGCGCTCCCTCCAGCTGCTCGGGGGGTAGGGGGCGCGGGCATCTGTTTCCTTGAGTCTTCCAGCCTCCAGAGCGCCCGTCCCGGGCCCTTCCTCCCCCCTGCAAAGCCGGGGGCACAGCCTCTTGCTCCTGTGGTCATGCACCCCCTGCCTCCTCCCTCCCTCCCTCCCTCCCTCCCTGCTGCAAGGATGGTTGGATTACATTCAAGGGGCCACCCAAATAGTCCAGGATAACCCCCCCTCGCAAGATCCTTAGTTTAACTATTTACTGTAGCCCAGATATGGAAACAACCTACGAGTCCGTCAATGGATGAGTAGATAAGGAAAGTGTGGCGTACAGACATCGGAATACTATGCAGCCTTCAAAAAAGAAGGAAAACTCGCCTTTTGTGACCACGCGGACGAACCAGGAAGATGTTGTGCTGAGTGGAACAGACCAGGCGCAGGATGATGCCAGCACTGCTCCATCTCACTCCCAGGTGGAAGCCAGAAAAGTCAGACTCGTGCAAACAGAGAGTAGAAGGGGGTGGTTCCCGGGGACTGGGGGTGGGGGACGGGAAGAGATGCTGGTCGAAGGGTACAAAGCTGCAGCTATGCAGGTGGCTACATGCAGGGATTTAATGTGTGTACCCATGTACACTTAAGATTTGCCAGGAAAGTAGACCCTAAATGTTCTCATCACTCACACACAAAAGCAACTGCGTGGGGTGACGAGTAGGGGGACTAGCTTGATCGTGGCAATTATTTCACGTTGCACATGTATGTCAACACGTCACGTCATACACCTGCACAAGTATATGCAATCTCATCCGCCAATTACTTACTTGCCAATAAAGCCGGGGGGGGTGGGGGGTGGAGAAAAGACCCTTAATGTAGTCACATCCACAAAGTCCCTTTTGACACTCGAGGCGGCATTCGCAGGTCCTGGAGATGAGGGCGCGGATCTCTTTGGGACCAGGTTTCAGACTCCCGCACTCTCCCAGAGACCGGCCCCAATTCTCTTCAGGGCCAGAAGCGAAGGACTCTCAGCCCTCCCTTGAAAGCTGGAGGACAGAGGCAGGACCCCAGAGTCCTTTCTCTGGCCTTGGTTCTTCTCGTGAGCGTTGGCGTGGAGAAGAAGGTCCGGTGCCTGAGGTCCTGGCTCCGGAGCCAGACTCCCGGGGCTGCCTCCTGCTCTGCCCTTCCCGGGGCTGGGGGGGGAGGGGACCACAGGCGGGCTCCTTTGCTCCCGGTTTCCTCGGCTGGAATGTGGGACTAGCAGTGAAACCTGGTATCGCAGCTGCTCCGAGGATGCAGGGAATCAACACGCTCGGGTTCCCGGGGAAGCAGAGATTGCGGCGTGGACTTGGAAGCAGGGGAGAGGGGGGTTTGCTTGGGGAGCGATCCCTGGACGCAGGGTGAGGGAGTGAGCAGCCAGACGGGGCACAGGGAAGACCCCACGGGAGGCGTGTTACTGGGCCAGTTAGCATGGTGAGCGGCATGCGAGAACCCCACTGAGCCCCTCTGAGGAGCCACGAGTGTGAGTTGGGCCTCCGGATCCACCCGCGCCCGAGAGCGAGAGCTGTCAGCTCGGGGGTTGCCGAGGACGTGCTCGGGATGCACCTGCCGGAGCGAGGGGGGGTGCAGGGCGGGAAAAGCAGAGAAGCTGCGCCAGGGCGGTTCCAGGCGAGGTGCAGCTGGGTCCCATGCGGGGTGCTGGAGAGTCGTCCAGACCACGCGGCTTGTCCCTCTGTGGGGCAGAGGCAGGGCTCATGCCTCACAACAGCCAGTCACTGGGCAGAGAAGCAGGGTGGCCAGGGCGTCCTGCCCGGGTCACTCCGAGGGGCACAGCTCCAGCCACCTAAGCATCGTCCTGTCCAAAACACGCAGCGTGAGTTGTGAGCAACACAGCTGCAGCTCCTGTGCGGGTTGCAGCGAACCGATCAAAACAGGGATGCCAGGGGACGGGGGGCGGAGCTCGGACAGCACCCGTCGTAACTGCACCTGCTCAACTCGAAAGCAACAACCGACCTCTCCTCTGTCCACACGAGCACTCACTCCCCCAGCAGCGACCCCCAAGCAGCCTGGCGTGCCGTCCCGGGGGGCTGCGTGCGGAATAGGACGGCGGCTCGCCCGCCCATCCGCCCCCCGTTTCTCTCTCTCCTCTCCGCAGGTCTCTGACAGGTGCGACTACGTCTTTGTCAACGGGAAGGAGATGAAAGGCAAGGTGAACGCGGTGGTGAACTTCACCTACCAGCACCTGAGCGCCGCCCTGGAGGTGACGGTGTGGGTGCCGCGGCTGCCCCTGCAGATCGAGGTCTCGGACGCCGAGCTCAACCAGATCAAGGGCTGGAGGGTCCCCATCGTGGCCAGCAAAAGGTGGGTGCTCCCATCTGAGTCTGCGTCGAATGTGCTCAGGCTAAGAAGGGAACTTGGGGGTATGCCTGGACCCGAGGGTCCTCACGACGTCTAAGGACGGAGTCTCTCTCCGTCTCTCGGCTCTGTCTGCTCCGTGCTGGCCTGGCCCTGCACTGGGCGCTTCCCCTATGGCTCCACGTCGCGCCCTTCCTGTCTCCTCTGCAACGCCAGCAGAAAGGACACCCTGTCCTTCCCATCAGCCCCAGCAAAGTCCTGGATTTAAGTCTCATCTTGCCTTGGTTGGAGTTGGGTGCCACCCCTCAGCTAGTGAGTGCAGCCAAGCGGAGAGAACACAGGGGGTGGCTAGACTTCAGCCACGGTCCCCTGGCCGGAGCTGGAGGGGACAGAGGAAGAGTCGCCCCTGCCCGGACCGACAGCCCAGTTCCAGGACAAGGGGAGACTGAGGCAGGGAAGGAGCACACAACAGATATCCACTGGAGGGGGGAGGGCACAGGAACAGATGCCACCCGACCAGGGCTCCGAGCTCTCCGCCTCGGTAAAATGAGGTCCAAGCTAGTCCTCCGTGTGTTTGATACTTCGCACTGGTGGAGTCCGGTAGAGTTTGATCAGAGTCTCCACGATCCGCCGTGCGGTGAGCGGCAGGCAGAGGGAGTTGCGGAAGAAGCTCGGGCTCTCTGCTCACAGGCCTGGTCATCTCGGAAGGCCCCGTGCATGAGGACCCATGCCTCAGGGACAGGCAGAACGCCAAAAGTGAGTGTGTGCAGGGTCAGACAAGGAGGTGCACTTATCTGAGAGTTGCACTTAACCGAAAAAGGAACCCGGGGGCCCCTCCCCCCAAAAGCCCACCCCTTAGTCTTCATGAGCCCTGGGGGGACAGGATGCTTCGAGGGCTGAGGTCATGGGTCCCACGTAGGTAAGTTAGCTTCAGCGATAACCCTTTTATAAATCGCTGGGGTGTCAGGGCGTTGAGTTGGAGGCTGGGTTAGGGAGGGACTATTGACGCCACAGGGAGGGAAACGGCAGGAACAGATTTACCAAAGAAACTGCTGAGTCCGGTGGTGGCACGTCCCAGACGCCGCCACGGCTGTCCGGCTCAGACACGGCGGCAGAGGGTTCCAGAGGCGAGCGGAGCCGCTGGTGCTCTGACGGGGACCACGGCGGTGCCATACAAGGCCAACGGCACACGAGGCATTGGATGCTGCGAGAGCAGCTGACACCTGTCCCCTCAAACCATCCCGGCCTCGTCCGCCTGCCTTTCTCCTCCCACTTTGCCTTTCCCTGGGCTCGGCACCCACCTCCTGGGTGTGCTGGCTCATAGGGACACGCTAGCCGCCCACAGCTCCTCCATGTTAGTTACCTATTGCTGAACAACTTAGCGCCTTGGCCCAAAACGTAGTGGTTTAAAAATTACCCCAAAACTTAGCTCAGCTTAAAAGAATAACATATATTATTCCACAGTGTCTGCGGACCGGGAATGCGGGTGTGGTTTTTGCCAGGTCCTCTGAGCCGGGTCTCTCCCAAGCTGCGATCCCGCCGTCAGCGGGGCTGGGGTCTCCTCTCGGGGCTCCCACGGGGAAGGATCTACATCCGGGTCCCTCACGGGGGTGCCGGCAGGTCTCGGTTCCTCGCCGGCTGCTGGCCAGATGTCACCGTCAGATTCCGGCCAGGGGGACATCTCCAGGGGGCAGCTTGCTTCATCAGAGCAGCCAAGCGAGGAGAATCGAGGGCAGAAAGCACAGGCAGGACAGAAGGCGGAGCGTTTTAAAATCTAACCGTGAAAGTGACCATCCGATCATTCTGGCTGCAGTTTTCTGATGGCAAGAAAGTCACTAGGTGCAGCCCTGGCTCAAGGGGAGGGGATTTCACAAAGCAAATGCCAAGAGATTGGGCAGGGGGGGTCTTTGGGAATATCTCAAACTCTGCCCGCCACCCCAATCCATTCCGATTGGTCAGTGCTCGTACCAGACCACTCTGGTCAAATCCCCCAAATGCCGCCTCCGTGTGGCTGGCTGTGGATTCCTGGAGGGCAGGGCTCACGGCTTGCTCACCTTCCCCATGGTTCCCGTGTGCTGACCCCGACTGACTCCTCGACAGGCCGGCAGGGGACAGTGAGGAAGAGGAGGACGAGGAGAGGAGGGGCCGCGGCTGCACGCTGCAGTACCAGCACGCCATGGTGCGGGTTTTGACGCAGTTCGTGGCAGAGGCAGCCGACACTGGGGCCCACCTGGCCCACCTGCTGGGCTCCGACTGGCAGGTGGACATCACGGAGCTGATCGGCGACTTCATGCAGGTGGAGGAGCCCAGGATCGCCACGCTGCAAGGGGGGCAGGTCCTGGTCGGGCAGGAGCTGGGCATGACCACCATCCAGGTAAGGGGTCCCCCTGGCAAGGGCTGCCTGTCCCCTGCCTCTGCCCTGCCCAGGTGAGAACTCAGTGGCTTGTCACTGCATAGGACCGTGGCTGCTTTTAGGGCGAGAGCATTTAGAGAAACAGTGCGGGAGAAACCGAGTAAGTGACCACGTAACGGTGCGATGAGAATCTCGAAATCCCGCACGTATGACGTGCACGTGAGGAGCCCTGGACTGGCTCCTCTGGCGGGTCATGTTTGAAGCTCCAAGGCGTCATGTTCCCCCCAACCCTGGTAGTCGTCACCATCTTGGTGAACAAAGCCCTCGAGGCGAGCTCACCTCGTCTCAATCGAGGGCGTGAAGGCGGCGTCGTCTTGCTGAGCCACTTTGTCCTCGCTGAGCTTTGCTGCCTAAAAGCTTCCGTCCTCTGACGACATTGCGGCTGACTCTACCGCGTGTCCACCCTGCGTCTGGTGGCCACCGGAGCATCCCAGAGACATGCCAAGGCAGGAACGAGGAGACTATGACTCGGTCGGTCTTGCAGGCCCCTCCTGCCGGGGAATGGGAATGGCGAGAGCCGGCGTGCAATGCCATGGGGGTTTTGAAACAAACATTCTTACAGAACAGTGTTCTGGAAAGCTTGCAGAGGGCTGGTCATTTGCCTCCCCTGTGAGAAAAAAAGGAAGGCTTTGTTCCTCAATAGCTGCCCATTCAGAGACGAGGTGGCCATCTCCTTAAGCAACCTGTGAGGCACCTACGGCAGCGAGCTGCACATGAGCAGTCCTTACAGCCCAAACTACGTTGGATCATGAAAGATCTAAAACATCCGTTCTGGGATATTGGCTGGTGTGTTGAAAAGATCATTTCATTCAAGGAGGAAAACAGATGGGTTTGGGCTGCAGACCGGGAGTCGAACGCTCAAATGATCTCTAGAAGCTGAGAAGGCAATGTTCGTGAGGGGGGCAGGCTGGACGTGAGCTGAAAGGTGGTGACTGGTTTCGCACTCGGTGTTACAGAGACAATAAGGAGTGGTGAGGACTGTGACAAAGTGACAACCTGCTAAAAAGCTGCCCAGCAGAAATGCGAGCCCCGTGTGGCCACATGTTCCAACTTTTCCAGAAAAGCCGGAAATCTGTCTTTTCATGTGAAACCTTCTGGCTTCCGTACAATTATGATCATTAATTCCATTTTAAGGTATTACATATGACAGACAAAATACACCGCCCCGTAGACAGGAGCTTGCAACCTACACAATAGACGGAGGAGCTGACAGACCCGCATTCCCACAATAAATCCATAGGCTAAACTCACGCCCAATGCCTGGAGATTCAGACTCGCGTGAGAAATTGGTACTAACCACCCACCCTGAGCGATAGTTTACGTGCAAAGAGGAAAGGACACAGTATTCAGAAGTCACGTATTAGGAAGGAAGAGATTGGGCCAGCTTCCCACACCTTAAAAAAAGAAAATTGAGACCCGTAGTTCTTTTATTTGTTCTCCCTGTGCCCTCCCGAGTTATAAATCCACTTGTCCCCTTCCTCCTGGGGACTGGTGTCCCAAGCTCACTGCCGTCTGGATGGCCACCATCAGACCCAGAAAGCGAAGATGGCATTTAGGCAGAAGGACGCAGTTTTGGTGCTGGGCTTAAGGAGCCCCGGGAAGACAGTTCTCTTGCCGTACACCTTCATAAACATCATCAAGAACTCGACAAGAGAACCAGGTCAAGAAAGCAGGTGGATGAGGGGGAAACGATTTCATCCAGGAGGTCCAAGACCCACGGCCAGCAGCCGGAACGAATCAGAGGAGGGAAGAGTGAGGCCACGGATGCCCTTCGGAAGCAGGATTTCCTGCTCAGGGTCCACGTTGTCCATAAGCCTCATTTTTGAGGTCGTTACAGGCGTCCCGAGGAGAAATGAGACTTTGGGATCTTGGCGCCGGGCGCAGACACTCGGAGCTGTGCTTATCAGAGTGTGACCGGCACCACGGCTCGGCGTCACTCAAGGCACCGAGTGTGGACTCCTGGTGACACATAGCATCACCGAGATGGCCCAGGACCAGCAAGCTCTCCCTCATCGTGGTACCTGGATTTTCACGTGCAAGAGAGCAATGCATAAATACATACAACTGGGCTATCAGGTGATGTGAAGATGTTTGAAAAACAAATCACTTCGGTAAAATACATAATTTTAAACAAAATTCACATTAAATAATAGTAGGGCAATCTGTGCTGTAGAAGAATCACAAGGTCAGCACTGAGATGCTAACTACTGAGGGCAAGGGTGGTGGGTGGCGGGAAATGGAGTTTATTCGGGGGGTGCAGGGTGGACACCAAGCCCTGCCTGTCCACACCTCAGCACCTGCTTGCTGGTAGGCGAAACGTGCATCATGTTTTCTCAAGCAAGATGTATGTTCTAGAAGGGGCGTCAGCAGGGGGACCCGTTCTCCTCCACTCTGGCTCACTTGCCACTCTGTGCCCTGCCCTGCGCGGGCGTCCCTTGTGCGGTTGGAGGAAGCCCCAGGACCACAGAAGCCTTTCCCTGTCCTGCCGCTTCTGCCCCTCCAGATCCTGTCTCCCCTGTCGGACGCCATCCTGGCCGAAAAGACCATCACTGTGCTGGATGAGAAGGTGACCATCACGGACCTCGGGGTCCAGCTGGTGACAGGGCTGTCGCTGTCCTTGCAGCTCAGCCCGGGGAGCAACAGGGCCATCTTCGCCACCGCGGTGGCTCAGGAACTTCTGCAGAAGCCCAAACAGGTATGGAGGCAGGGCAGGACACACAGCTCAGGTGGGTCACTCAATGGGGGTCTCACACCAGGTGGGGGTCTCACACCAGGTGGGGGAGTCTCACACCAGGTGGGAGGGTCTCACACCAGGTGGGGGGTCTCACACCAGGTGGGGGGTGTCTCACACTAGGTGGGGGGGTCTCACACCAGGTGAGGGGGTCTCACACCAGGTGGGGGAGATCTCACACCAGGTGGGGGGTCTCACACCAGGCGGGGGGGTCTCACACCAGGGGGGGGGGTCACACCAGGTGGGGGGAGATCTCACACCAGGTGGGGGGTCTCAACACCAGGCGGTCTCACACCAGGCGGGGGTCTCACACCACCTAGGCCGGGGGGTCTTACACCCAGTGGGGGGCTCACCACCAGGTGGGGGGGTCCTCACACAGGTGGGTCTCACACCAGGTGGGGGGCTCACACCAGGTGGGTCTCACACCAGGTGGGGGGCTCACACCAGGTGGGTCTCACACCAGGTGGGGGTCTCACACCAGGTGGGTCTCTCACCAGGTGGAGGGGGTCTAATACCAGGTGGGTCTCACACCAGGAGGGGGCTCACACCAGGTGAGGGTGTCTTACACCAGGTGGGGGGCTCACACCAGGTGAGGGTGTCTTACACCAGGTGGGGGTCTCACACCAGGTGGGGGTCTCACACCAGGTGGGGGTCTCATATCAGGTGGGGGTCTCACACCAGGAGGGGGTCTCATACCAGGTGGGTCTCACATACCAGGTGGGGGGTCTCACATACCAGGTGGGGGTTCTCACACCAGGTGGGGTCACACACCAGGTGGGGTTCTCACACCAGGTGAGGGTCTCACACCAGGTTAGTCTCACAAAGGAGAGGGATCACCTGTCAGGTTTATCAATATGCAAAGGACGCCTATGATGCAGAAGACTGCTCAGCTCCATGGTACCTAGCTCCCCCCAAACAAAGATGCAAGAAATAAATATGTAAATAAATACACAATTAAAAAGTTACAAGCTCCCCAAGGCAGAAGCATGGAGGAGATGCCACAGCCTACTGCCAGGTCCCTGCAGGAGCCTGGAGACAGTCTGGGCAGCGGTAAGAGACCGGAGATTGTCCCCACACCAGTGATTGCATAGCTCAGGCAGAAATAGCCCCAAGGTGATGCCAGTCCCCACTTGACTTAATCTGAAACCAGTGTGTGCTAACAGAGTGTACTATGTGTGTCTGTGCGTGTACCTTGTGTGTGTGCATGTGTCTTCTGTGTATGTGTGTATATGTATACATGTGTGTTGTGAGTATTGTATGTTGTGTGTGTTTTACATGTGTCTTATGTAAGTTTTGTGAGCTGTATGGGTATTGTATGGTGTATGTTGTGTGTGTTTGTGTTACATGTATGCCCATGTGTATGTGTATCCTGTGTATGTATTATGTATTGTGTTTTGTGTTGTATGTGCCTGTGTGTATGCATGTGTGTGTGTGTTGTGTGCATGTGTGTGCCGTGCACGTTTGCGTGTTGATGCACTGCTTTCCAAACAAGCTCACGGGGCATTTGTGTTTGTTCACGTCTAGCAAGGTGAGTAGACATTACTTCGTAGAAGGAACACAGAGACCCGGGTGAGCCTTACCTAACAAGAGACAGTGGTCCCGGCCATTCCCTTTCCTTGTAGCCCATGACAAGGGTCCATCCTCCCATAGGATGCTGGGAGCCCTCTGGCCCACATGCCAGGTTTTTCTGGCAGCTTCCACTGTGGGTCAGGAGCCCCTTCCCCGCAGCTGCCCCTCTGCAGGACAAGTGACCAGACTCGGCCATCCCCTCATGCTCCAGCTGACGTTGTAACTGTCTTCAGAGCGGGAGGAAGCACTGACCGGGCTTGCCGTGGGGCACGTGGGGCCCCCCATTTTCCTGCCTGCGCCTGTCACATGATGCTCCTGGTCGGGCATCCGCTGACCTCTCAGCCCTTCCACTCTGGTCCTTGTGTGTAGGGTTAAGGATTAGAGAACACTTGAAAGCGGATGATCCCAGGAACAGATAAGAATTCCTGGCCAAGGCTAACTTCCTCTTTGTGGAGGAAGGGAGCCAGCCAAGAGGCAGGTTACAGACAGCCAAGGAGAGGTAGCCGGAGGTGGCTTTCTGTCCTTGACATGATAAGACCAGGGATGATAAGGGATGATAAGATCGGGGATGATAGGATCAGGCCACTGCCAGCTAGGAGTTAGGGAAGTGATCGGATGCAGCTAGAAAAAGTCCAAAGAGCTCATCTATTTCTGACGTGGGGAGCTACACACGCCACCCTGCGATCCCCTCCGTGGTCGGTCTGCAGGGCGCTTACCCGCCGCGCAACTCGGCTCTGGCGTGGTGGTGTCGGGAAATCCATTGCCCATCTGAATGTTCTGCTCGGATTTCGCGGCAGACCGAGAGAACCCGGTAAGTCAGTGCCATGTGCAATGCCTTTGCGCTGTGTCTTGGCCGGGTTTTCCACGTAGCAGCTGGTCCGAACCAACATCTAACAAAATGAGCAGTTATCGGCTGAGCCGAGGGAAGACAGACCCAGAGTCCACAGCCACCCTCGAGGTGCCTCTCTTCTTACTTCCAAAGACTAAACAGCAGCCGGGTACGATTGACTTCTGTCTCGGTCAGGGGCCGGTGGGTGCACCGAGTAGAAACCCACTCGGGCAGGTGTCAATGACAAGGGATGTGTTCGGAGGATGAGGGGAATCTCATAGACCCAGATGTGGGACCTTGGAGGAAACGGAAGGTCAACAGTCTCTCTCCCGTCCACTCTCTCCCTCCCCTCTGTTTTTATCTGGGTCTACTTCATTCTCCTCCTCCTGTGCATAAATGCTATGCCCACACACTTGCCTACGCACGATCCATCGTGGTTGCTCCAACACGGGGCTTCGTTCCCTGATTTTACACGAGCTCCCGCTGCTCACCTTCCCACACCTAACTTCCTTAGTCCTGTCTCTCTTATTTGAGGGGAGAGACAGACAATCAGAGAGAGAGAGAGAGGTGGCGGCCAGCTCCACGCTGCCGAGACTGACGGCTCTCGCAGCAGCTGTCTCTGTCTCCCTTGCCCAGGGTGGCCGCAGCCAGGCAGGCAGGGTCAGGCGGCTCACGGAGTGGTCCTCATTCCAAGCATGGGGTGGAGCCGGTTCTCCAAGGGAGGGGGAGCAATGGCCCTGACAGGTCACCGTCAAGCACAATGACATCTTCATCAAAACGAAAGTCTCACCTTAAGTTGGACGTTACCTCCAACAATCTGCCTGCTCAGACTGCTCGCAAAGGCAGTTGGTCTAAATCGACAAAGGGAACAAGGCAAGGGGTGGGGGCGTGGGCACACCTCCGCCCGACTCCCGGTTTCCTCCAGCTAGGGCTGGGAGGAGGGCACGGGGTGGAGGCGGAGACAGACTTTGGAGCCGGGGGCGTCTCCCGCTCTGGCTGGCTGGTCTCACCTGGCGCAAACCCATCCCTGCAGACCCCGGGCCACTGAAACCAGAGCCTGCTGGGGCACCCCTGTCTAGACGAGGGGCTTTCCTCTGTGTCGTGGGCATGGGCACTCAGTATGGAAGTAACTTAAAAATAATGTAATATACAGTAAAATTGATTTATTAAAAAAAAAAAAAATAAATAATGTAATAAATATTTTTTCATTTAAATGTGTAATGCTTGTAAATGACCCCACTGACTGGTAATCTCCTTCGACGTGCAATTTATTACTGTGCAGAAGGAGATTCGGAACAGCCTCAGGGTCCATCTTACCTTTAACACCTCCAGATTAAAAAAAACAACAAAAATTTAAAAAGCAGGTGTCATTAGGGAGTGTGCACATCTGTCCTGTTTTGTTGCTAGCATTTTCTTGTTGCTGCTGTATTTTGCTTCTACGTCTTTATAAGAATTCGGTCTGTTTTATACCCTTGGCACCTCCTGTCCCCTTATTTCTCCACTGTTTGAAAGGTTCCTCTTTGTTCTTGTAGCGTTATTTCTGCCAGGATGTGTGTGTGTTCTGCCTTGGTGCTCGGTGCTTAGTGCTCGGTGAGCGACGACTGGCCCGCTTTGATTAACTTATCCTTCTCCACAGGAGGCCGCCATCAGTTGCTGGGTCCAGTTCAGTGACGGCGCAGTCACGCCCTTGGATATCTACGACGGGAAAGACTTCTCCCTGGTGGCCGCGTCCTTGGACGAGAAGGTGGTCTCCATCCACCAAGACCCCAGACTCAAGTGGCCTGTCATCGCCGCCGAGACGGAAGGCCAGGGCGCCCTGGTGAAGGTGGAAATGGTAATCAGCGAGTCCTGCCAGAAATCCAAGCGCAAGAGCGTGCTGGCCGTCGGGACGGCAAACATCAAAGTGAAATTCGGCCAGAACGACGCCAACCCCAACGCCAGCGACACCAGGCACCCTGGCGCGGGCCAGGTTCACCTGGGGAACGAGGTCGGCGAGCGCAGACCCAAACAGCCCTTGCAGGGGTGGGAGAGCCCGGAAGGAAGGTTCTACAGCAGCTCTTCCTCCGTGGGACTCTTGGAAGGGAGGGGCCCGGCCACGGAGAGGCCGCCCTTGCGGAAGAAGGGCCAGGGGGGCTTCTTGGACGGTGAGGGCCACCTGCAGACCCTCCCCATCGACCTCACCAGCTTCCCAGCCCAGGTGGAGCTGCCCAGGGGCACGGGGGGGCTGGATGAGAACGACCTCATGCAGGCCTCCAAGGGGCTGAGCGACCTGGAGATCGGCATGTATGCGCTGCTGGGCGTCTTCTGCCTGGCCATCCTGGTCTTCCTGGTCAACTGCGCCGCCTTCGCCTTGAAGTACAGGCACAAGCAGGTGCCCTTCGAGGAGCAGGAGGGCCTGAGCCACTCCCACGACTGGCTGGGGCTGAGCAACCGGACAGAGCTGCTGGAGAGCCACGTGAACTTCACGTCTTCCCAAGAGGAGCAGATCACGGCCATCGACAGGGGCGTGGACTTCGAGGAGAGCAAGTTCCTCCTCAGCACGGACTCCCAGAAGAGCATCAACGGGCAGCTGTTCAAGCCGCTGGGAGCCACCGCCACGGACGGGAAAGAGCCGAAAAGCGAGCCCCCGGCATCCCCTACCTCAAAACGGAAAAGGGTGAAGTTCACCACCTTCGCCGCCGCCCCCGAGGACGACACCTGCCCCGCCAGGGACCCTGGGGCGGCGAGGGGCGGCGGCGGTGACGACATTAAGTGGGTCTGCCGGGACCTGGAGCCCGGGGGCTGTGCGGAGCTGCATGGCTACATGGAGCGGTTACACGAAAGCGTGTGAGCCGGACACGCAGGGACACCTGTTCTCACTCACCTTTCAGCCTTTAATTCCAGGATGTGTAGCCACGGCGCGCCCGGGACAGAAACGGGACGGCGGGACGAGACGAGGGCGACCCTGTCCATGCAGCCTCAGAAAACAACCCCTGCTCGGCCGGCGGGGGTGGGTGCGGAAGGGGGCCCCCCGAGTCAGCACGGGCACCCGCATCCCAGCGTAGGACATCTTGCTTAAAAGCCCAGGGGTGTGTGCCACGTGGCAAGATTGTTAAAACTTGGGACAAAAAGGAGATCTGAGTCCCCTCGCCTCTGAGAGTCTCCGGGGGAGGGGGACAGCCTCTCTCTTGCTGCCTCTCGCTGAGCAAAGCGATCTGGACACTGTAACGTCCACGTGGCCCCAACATCCCGTCGCAAAACGGCGGGAGGAAAGCGCGATTCGGGCTGGGCGCGGCGTGGATCGAAGGGAGGGAGCGTGCCATGCGCCCTGCAGCGGCAGGTGACCACCGGCCATCTCCCGCCCAGGCGGCTCCAGGAGGCGTGGCTGCCAGTCACTGCCTCTCAAAGACCGGGGCGGGGCCTCACCGGGTCATCGGCCGAGCGAGGCAGTTGCTGACCAGGCCTGAAAGAGGACAAGTGACAAAATACCTTTGTAACTACATGCCAAGACCAAACACTCACACACACACACACACACACCCTCTGAGCAGCTCAGAGCGTTTCTTTAATTTGTAAACTAAGGATACTGGGCATAGGATTTCAGTCAGGTTCAAAGAACCCAGGCTCTTTCTAGCAAGTTCCCCGTGTTTAAGTTTGCATTCCTCCACTGTGTGGCCACCTTTCCAAAAGCTGTCAGTCATCTGCAGGTGAGGGTGGGGGACTGGGGGAGGGGAAAGTTTCCAGTATTCCCTGAGTCCCCTCCCCCCACCGCGGGCTTTGTGTCAACTCCCAGGTGATGGTGCACGCCGCCCATCTTTGACGAGCCTGGTTTTTGGGGCTCGCTGGGGGGGCAGTATTCATGGGGGTTCAGCACCAGGGGGTGTCCCTTCCTCACCTTTCCAGACAGACGACAGGGCTGTTTTGCGATGGCTCTGTCACCATTTGTGGTGGGTCTCCTGTCCAAGAATTTACTCTCCAGGCTGTTGAGACAAAATCCAGGTGTGTGTGTGGAAGGTGCCTGGGGAGCTGGGAGCTGGGGTGTGCGGGCGGGGAGGGGGGTGGATCCGGCGGAAAGCCTGGGCCCCGCCCTCCCGACACACACCGGGACAGCACAGGGGGCTGCTTCGCCTCAGAGCTGGGAGGGACGTGAGGCACAATGGCAGGGAGTGGGCGTGCAGGTTGTGTGAGCACCTGGCCCTAAAGGCAGCCCGGGAGGCGTGAGGTTGCTTAAGATTGACATGACTCTGAGGATCTCCCCAATCCCCCAGATGCGAAGCCCAGGAAGCTGGAGGGGGAGGGGAGATTGGAGGATTCTTACCCGTCTCGTGCTGGCTCCAAGGCAGAGAAGAGGGTGGGTGGGATAATGGCCAACGTGACATTGTCCTGGGAGAGAAGGTGCCGGGGACGGGGAGCCAGAGGGGCCGGGCAGTAAGATCAGTCTCTCTCACTCCCTTTCTTCCTTCTCCTCCTTCTTTCTGCTTCTTCTTCTTCCTTCCTTCTTCTTCTTCCTTCTTTCTTCTTTCTTCTTCCTTCTTCTTCTTCTTCCTTCTTTCTGCTTTCTTCTTCTTCCTTCTTTCTTCTTTCTTCTTCTTTCTTCTTCTTCTTCTTCCTTCTTCTTTCTTCTTCCTTCTTCTTCCTTCTTTCTTCTTCTTTCTTCCTCTTCCTCTTCTTCTTTTTTCTTCTTTCTTCTTCTTCTTCCTTCTTCTTCTTCTTTCTTCTTCTTCCTCCTTTCTTCTTCTTTCTTCTTTCTTCTTCCTTCTTCCTTCTTTCTTCTTTCTTCTTCTTTCTTTCTTCTTCTTTCTTTTTTCTTCTTTCTTTTTCTTCCTTCTTATTCCTCTTCCTCCCTCTCTCTCTCTCTCTCCATATAATTCAATTCCCCTTAGATAACGCGTGCAGATTCCACGGTTCACCGTCTCAACCCCAGCCCTCTCCCCTCCAGCTGTGGTGCTATGAGTTTTCTCTGAGACCGGGACTCCTGCAGCCAGCACGTCACCTGCTCCTGTCCCCAACTCTGCTCCCCTCGTTTGCTGGGGCGATGAAACGGTCGCCCCTTTTCGATGACAGTTCTTTGCTTTCAGCAGCCCTCTCGTGTTTCTTTGCCTTCTCACCCTCGAGACGTTCCGTTTCATGCCGCAGCCTCCGCCCTTGCCCGGATCCACCCACGTGTAGAATGTACTGTAGATTGTAAGAATGTAATATATATTTATAAACCCACCGACTGTAAATACAAAGTTTGCACTCCGCGGCTTTACGTGTGTCCGTTGTCTTTCTGCACGCCGAGCGCCTCCGAGGGCAAATGGCTCTCCAAGCACTGTGGCTCTTGGCCAGTGACATGCAGATTTAAGGATCCCAGCACAGTCCAATCACACCCTCACGCCGCGTGCTGCTGCCGCCGTCTGCGATGAGATGTTGACACATGGTGACAAAGTGCATTGCTAAGTACTAAGCATCTCTCCTTCAGGACCTGAAAGGATCTGCAGACAAATCACACATGCAACTCTGCCCTAAAAGCCTGCTGACTGATGGCGGTAGGCGAGAACTCTGGCAGGTGAGAGCAGACTCCAGCCTCCGTTTGGGCTGGAGCAAGGGAAATGCTCCGTCCTCCCCTTGGGGGTCTCGGACGTCTGTGCACACGGTAACCCCGGGCTGGGTTAAAAAAGGTTGATACTTTGTTACATTCCTTCATCAAGGGCAGCCCCCGTCACCACTGCAGGTAAAGAGGGGTTGCATGAGATCCTTGCATTCGTGCGAGGCGTAGCAGGTATCGGATCATTCCTTCCCTTCAGCCGGGACTTACCGAGCAGCTGCTGTGCCGCGCACCAGCCGTGAGCCCTGCAGACAGAGCCGAAACCGCGGCAGACACACAGACACACGCGTGTGCTCCCGGAGACCTGACTCACACCTGGCGGGGCCGGGGGGGGGGAGGGGAGTGGGGTGGGGGCACAAAATAATTTTTGTATTGTCCTAAGTTTTCTAAAAGACAATAATAAAAAAGGTCACAGAATAGAGAAAAATCAAGCTAACATTTAACACTTTGATGATTTCACCTAAAACTTCGGGACTTCTATCGTCACTTGCGAATTCAGACACTCTGGCGAAAAGGGGCTTCCAATGCGTATCGGCGTGATCGGGTGGAGTCAAGGTGGGGACGCGAGTCCCCTCCGCCCCTGGTGTCTCCCCTGCTCACCGCGTCGGTTTCATTTACAATCCCACTGCTCTTCTGCTCATAGACAAGTATTTCTCCCGAGTCATGCCTCTGCCCAAAAATGGGGGAAACAAACAAAGACGGAGGGAGCTGTGTGTTTTGGGGGCAGTTAGGAGAGAGCACATGGCTTTAATGAAAGAGCAGAAATGTCCCTCCCTGTCCCCGAGGCTAATGTAGAATGTCATCGTCTACAAGACACAGCTTTGCCATTATAATGCAAACTGTAATGTGACCCACGTGCCCAGGATTCGAGACAGGAATGGCACGAAAGTCTTAACCGAAATGTCTAGGGTGTCTCTCTGAGTGTGAATGAAGGAAGTGACACTGCTGATCTCTCCGGCCCCGGCCTGAGCAATCATTCCTGCCACCCGACGGACCCCCGGAGACCCGAGTGTCCCGGCCGGCGGAGGAAGTCCCCTCCCCAGTGCTGGCGGGAAACTCAGGAGGGAGGAGACGCACTTCCCTGTGGCTGGCCCGTCCTCCCTGGACCCCGGGTGCGGGTGCTTTGCTGTAACAAGGTCCACTCACTGGGTAGCCTGGACAACAGAAATTTGTTGTATCACTTTTCTGGAAGCCCCAAGTCCGAGGTCAGGGTGTCGGCAGGTTGGTTCCTTCTGGGGGGCTGCGAGGGAGACCCTGTTCCAGCGTTCTCCAGGCTCCTGGTGGCCCCAGGCAGATCTTGGTGTGCCCAGGCGGGTGGACACATGGCTCTAACCTCTGCCGTCTCCCGGCGTGCCTGTGTGTCCGGGTTTTCTTTCTTCCCGTAAGGACCCCTGTCGCTGGATTTGGAACACGCCCTCATCCAGCGTGACCCCAATCTCCTCTCCATTGCGTCTGCAACTGAGCCTGTTTCCATGCAAGGTCACGGGGGTCGGCACTGGGGGTTAGAGCTTCAGCTTCTTGGAGGACACGTTTCCAGCTACCCCAGGGAGGAAGAAGTCCCCATGGCATGGGAGACGTATGTCTTGCTATTCATTTTAGAGAGAATCTTTTCCTTGCATGTGATTTTTAAAAACAAAAATTAAGCGGGCTTATGGAAAAATTAAGTGGGAGGAGTGAGGAACAAAGTACGTTACTTGCTAGGAGCGGACAGTAGAGGGGCGTGCGTCTGAGCATGGATCACCTGCCCCGGGGCTGCCTCTGTCTCCCTGTCTCACTCTGTGCCAGCCTGTTTGGCTCTGTTCTCGGGCAGAGTCACCCCCAGGGCGGCCTCTGGAGGCCCCGGCCTCGTTAGTTTCCCAGAGTGAAGACAAAGATGGCAGCTGTCCCGGCACCTGCAGAAAACACCTTCGCTGGCCCCCGTTGGCCGCGGGAGTTGCTCTCTGAACACACATGCGTCCCCTGGCACGTGCAACGGTCACAGGTCTTGGTGACAGGTGTCTCTCCCCAGCCTGGGAACCTGGGGCGGGGAGGAGGAAGTCCTTACCTGAGCCATGTCTCGGGGACTCAGGGCGGGGAAGGGCCAGATTCCCAAGGCGGAATGCAGAGCCTGTCACGCCGTAAAACGGGGAGCAGGTGTCGCTGAGCAGAGCGATCCAGCCCGCCCCCCTCTTCCGTTGCCGCTTTCCGGCTTCCAAGCTCCCCCAGCCCTGTTCTCACCAGCTTTGCTTCCCAGACACTCAGGAAGACTCTGCAGCCACAGGCTGGGGACCCCAGGAAACCGTGGGCGTGGTGCGGAGTGGGGACAGGCGCCCTTCTCAAACACCCCACGCCGGCCGCCGTGGGAACTCTCTCCTCTCGGGCTGGTGAGCGGGCCCCCGGGGCCGGCACGGTTTCTGCCCTTTCTTGGACTGAGCGACCTTAAACAGCCGTTTCTCCTGCTGTTCCATCAATCCCGACCCCCCCGGTCATGCTAACGGGCTCAGAGCGCCGCCGCCAATGGTCGTCCGATAACTCTGAGAGCTTCTCTCTCCCCTTCCGGCCACCACCCTGCACACAGAGCATTCCAAGGCTCTCAGGTGAATCCACGGAGCAGGCGGTCGATGCTTTCTAAGTGGAAATTATCGGGTGACCTTTTAGAAACCTGATTCATGGCCAGGTGTTGTGGCTCATTTCCTGTGACCGCAGCACTTTGGGAGGCTCATTTCCTGTGATCGCAGCACTTAAGGCCAGGAGTTTAGGAGTCTGAGACCAGCCTGAGCAACACAGCAAGACTCTGTCTCTACAAAAAAATTAAACGTCAGCCAGGCGTGGTGGTGGTGGCACACACCTGTAGTCCCAACTCCTCGGGAAACTGAGGCAGGAGGGTCACTTGAGCCCAGGAGTTGGGGGTGGCAGTGAGCTGTGATCACACCACCGCAGTTCAGCCTCAGCAACGGAGTGAGACCCTGCCTCAAGAAAATAAAATGAAATCACAAAAAATAAATAAACATATGATTCAATTCACGTCACTCTCAGCTGAACCCTCCAATAATCCGGACTCCGTGCTGTGACCCCAAGGTCCCGTGTGATGTAGGGCCACCAGTTGATCGCCCTCACACCCCCATCACCTGCCCGCTCGCTCACGCAGCTGCGACCACACCGGTTTCCTTCTGTCCGTTCCGCTAACAAACAAGCTGTCTCCTCCCTGCCCCCTCTGCTCAAGGCCTTTGCTCTTGCTGCTGCTACTTTCTGGAACTCTCTTTCCCCCAGATATTCACAGATCAGCCCCCTCCCCATCACGCTGGGAGTCCAGCTCCGAGCAGCCTCACGCTGCCCCCTCATCCAGACCGTCCCACCCCCCTCGTCTGGACGCCGGGCCTTGCGCCAACACAGACTGTGGTCACCGCCACGGAAGGGGCGGTGGGTGCTGCTTCCCGGACCGAGGACGGGCACACTAGGGCTTCTGGTGCCCTGCCCGGCATGACTACTGCCCTCTGGGGAGGTTGTCCAGGCTCCCAAGGGGCCTTTGCGGGGCCGTGACTGTGGCTGCTGTTTAACACCCGGAAGGCACTCTCTGGGCCTGCAGGGGCCCCAAGGAAGAGCCCGGGCACCTGTTAAGCAAGGAGACCTCCCGAATTATATTTTTCTCCATGGATAAACAAACACAATCTAAATCCTCCCAATTCAAAAAAAGCCTCAGGGAATATGCAAAACTCACTGTTGCTCCAACTTAGGTGTTCCAAAATAACTGTGGTTAAAAAAAAAAAAAAGGTTTAAAGTTTAGAATCATGCAAGCTTGTGACCCAGTGAATCTTTCTTCCCCACTTTTGAGATGCTTTAAAGTACATGAAGGTTTTTTTTAAATAATTCCCGTCTGCCTCGCTGTCCCTGCAAATAACCAGACACAATCAATATGTGCCGTTAGAATTTTCCAGTGCGGATGTGCA